AGGCGAAGGGAGTGAGTGAGGAAGGAAGGAAGGGAAAGAAAGAAAGAAAGAAAGAAAGAAAGAAAGAAAGAAAGAAAGAAAGAAAGAAAGAAAGAAAGAAAAAGAAAGAAAGAAAAAACCTTACAAGGTAACAATGAGAAATGTTGCTAAGATCACTGCATGGATCCAGGTAATCATCAGGAATCAAGTTTGACTCAAAGGAGATTTGGGGTCTTATTCTCAACTCCTCAAACTGGGGGTAGGTTTGGGGAATTTGGTACTATTATATGCACAAATCTAGCATTAGACTTTTTTTTCCCCCTTTTGGTCATGTTATTTGGCAGCTTTAGTTCAAAGTTGCCAAAAGTTGGTCTAAAAGGCAGATGTTAAAATGGAAAGCTGCTGGTGCTGGTGCTGCTGCTGCTTTGGGATCTGCTAAAAAGATGTTCCAAGGTGGTAGATCTAATGCAACCATGAGCTGGTTGGAATAAAGCTTGATGTTGATCTGAGAGTCAGATATTCTTCAGAACTCCGCTTCATTTCAGAGAAGTTCTCGCCGATAGCGATAGCTGGTTCCAATTTATTCACTTCTTGGAGGAGACAGTAATCAGGGAAGGAGATAAATAACGTTCAGATGGAACAATTAAATTTAATTATCTAAAGACGATTTGTCTCCTTCCCTGACTATTGTCTCTGCTGCCTGCCTATAAATTGGATCCAGCTATCAAGAATCTGAAGTCTTTCTCTTTGAGGTTTGCACACTACCCAGATCAAAATCTCAACATGCTGATCATGGTTGATCTGAATACAACTTTTCAATTTTTTAAATCTCCCATCTTTGTGGATTTGACACGGCAGAATCCTCACTGCTCAAGTGTGACTACTTAGTTCAGGGTTCTCTAACCTTAGCAACTTGAAGGCGTGTGGACTTCAACTCCCAAAATTCCCCAGCCAGCCATATCTTCAAGTTGCCAAGATTGGGAATCCCTAATTTACTTGAAGCTGTGGACTATGTTCTCCTTGTGAGCCAATGAAAAACTGAATGGGAGGTTCATGAGAACAACAAAGAAAAACAAAGAAAGGTGTTCAAAGTTCAAAGAAAGAAAAATACATGCTCATCCCTTCTATAGTCTAGAACAGAAACTCTTCCCAGTATTCAACCAGGTTACCACCTTCCGTTCAGGACTAGATTAAATTCTCAACTAAGAGTAACTGATGCATCGATCCATTTAGGTTGCACGACAGCTCTCACATGTATTTCCTGTAGACGTCAAAGATCATGTGAAGGAACTGTTTCAAAAGAACTAACAAGAGGCCACAGACTGTCCTGCTGGTTGTCCGTTACTTTGCTGCTTCTAAATTGATGAAGGAAATCCAGACTTTCAACAAAAATAATCTAATATTCAAATAGGAATCACCTGAAGTCAAAGAAGGGTTTGTTTCAGAGAAGAACAGACAAATCCATTCCACATCATCATTTTGTCTACAAAAGAGAAGGAGCCAGGGAGGGAGACATACGTACAACCAGCACATCTACTTTGGATTTTGTATCGGATTTTTTTTTAAGGGTGACTTAGAACTGTCACCACACCCCCACCAGAAAAAGAAAAAAAATTGCTATCATACTTTCTGCTCATTCCATACAACCTTCTAAAACTCCTGCTTATGATATGGTAATCTTGCATATTTCATAGTATACATTTTCAAGGGGTGGGGGGAGGAAATGCATTACGGCAGACCTGATGAGTACAGTTTAGTGGCCACATTCTGTTCTTAATAAAGGGGGTTGGGAGACTCAGGGAAGGTCTGAGATAATTCTTTTTAAAATGCTTTGATCTTTCTCTCCTATTTTCTTTGTGTAATCTCACCCCGGATCTGTACAAGAAGAGCACTGTAGCCCTAAGATTAGCTACAAATCTATGAAGGATGGAAAGCCCATAATACCTTCTGCAACTTGGATGTAGTTTGCATTGATTCTTTGGTTTTCATTAATGCTTGGCGCCAGTGGAGCACCAAGGATATATAAGATTTCAAGACATTTTTAAACATTGGCGAGGTTCCACAATTAAGCCATGGCTTGTTTTCGCACTAGGGGTAATCCTCGTTTAGTGAGCACAATCAGGATTGGCAACTTGGTCGTTAAATGAAATAGCTGTTAATGAAACCACCATGGTGCTTATTGTCTGACTTCAGCTTTCCTTGCTATTAGAGATCTGCGAAGGATATAAATGTGAGGGCTGGCCACAAAATCTTTTTGTCGCCACTGTTGTTACTGCCAATGGTTGCTAAACAAGACTTTTCAAAAGAGGACTATCTCAATTTGGTTGACAAAGCATGGTGCTCAATTCACAAACAGCACTAAGCCGGAAAGATTACCAGCTCCTAAAATCCAGATATCTTGTTAGAACCCCACAAATCAGCTCATACCAGTTCTAACCAAATTAATGGGGTGAATCATCTGCCTTTTGGGTCTTATTTTCCAATTCTCTAATTTCACATCCTCACGTTGAGCTACACCCCCTTTTCTTCTCCCAACAGACTTCTGATATTCATGTGAATCTGATCAGATATTTTTCTCTGTCAACGTTTCAATCCAGGAAGGACAATTAACCAGTGAGACCACTTGCCTTCAGGCCCTGTGGGTGCTTCATCGCTGGAGGTTTTTAAGAAGAGATTAGACTGAAATGCTGTAAGATCTCCTGCTGGAGCAGGGGGCTGGACTAGAAGACCCTCAAGGTCCCTTCCAATCAGCTCTATTCTGATTGCGATTCTGATTCCACCTTTGGGAGCCCGAATGGACTCCAGGCACCTTAGCTGCCTAAATCATCCAACGTTATGTGTCAAACATCAAACTCTGGTCCAAGAGTTTCACTGACCTTCCATGTTCTCAAGGAGGCAACCGTGTCATCTCCAAGAGATTAGCTGAGTGGGCTTCAGTTGTAGTGTCACCTCCAATTTCAACGAGAGCCATCTCTTCCACTGATGGCAACTAATGGAGCGTTACTACCCAATCTACAAAGACCATTTAGGAGTCAGCAAGGACACATGCTGTTTTTTTTTTCTGAAAGTTCTGATGGTCCTACAGAACATCTCCCCTTCACATGAACTTTCAAATCTTCCTGAAATCGTCTTTTTGCCTTTCTGGGTCCGAACACTTCAAGATAATGGTGAAAGGAAAGCAACTTACCTGTAACTCAGTTCTCTGGATTCTCTTAACTTGCCAGTTGTCTTTCTTCATCGCAGGTGCTTTTGTTTCTTTAAAAAAAGGTGCTGCTACGTACATTTCTGACATTCTCAAAGGAAAGGGGGAAAAAAAGAGAGACTTCTTCTACTATCAAGTCAGGGATTTGAGATTCTATTTAAATCTTCCCTAATCTCCCCTTTCTTCCATTATCCTTTCTCTTGTTAACACTATGCTGTAATGATACCGTTATTGTTCCCAATGGGGGTGGCGGGGAATAACAGGGGCTCCCAGCCAGCAGGAGGAGCTACTGAGAAAAAGAGTTCCCTAACAAAGCAGTGCAAATGTACACGTACCTGTAAGGTACCTGTCTGAAGTTTGTGGTAGCTGCACCAGATTGGCCCATAAAATTAATAACAACTTCTTAAAGGGCCACACGGTATCTCAAGACACTGAATTTCTCTATGCCGAGCAAAGCATGCAACTCCATTATCACATTCAGGAGCAAAAGTTTGAATGATATATTAAATAATTAAATATTGGGGGGGAGGCAGCATCAAGGACTGTCTTTTACTCTTTGCATAGCTCTGTATATAGACGATGCCTCCGAAACTGCTCGCACACAAGACTTAAATCTACTGTGCAAGCAGTTGATTTTGTGCATTATGGAAAAGAAATCAATTCGTGGATCAACCTTCTCTCTCCCTTAGGCATCTTGCCTTTGTATGTGTATATGTAAGGGCAAAGCTTTGCAAATTTCTTTTATTCTCTCAGCAATCTAGTGTGGCTTTTGATTGACAGCAACTCGGAAGTCTGGCAATCCTTTCAGTCCCTGATTTGATTTGCTGTCTTACGGGGCTTGTGGTTTAACCCAGGGGTCCCCAACCGGTACTGGGCCACGGCATGCCAGCAACTGGTCCACACAAACAAGCAAAGCCCCACCTGTGGGATGCAGGCAGCGCATAAAACCACGCACTCTCCGGTCCATGGAAAAAAACTCTCTCCACGGAACTGGTCCCCAGTGCCCAAAAGGTTGGGGATCTCTGGTTTAACTTATGTTGCAAGATCTGGTCTGCAATATCCTGGGTGATCATTAGATGACGAGAAAGGAATACAGGAAAACAGAACCCTTTGATGCCACCTAGTGGACATCTGAATATTTTCAGCCACGAGCTGGTAGCTATTTTTGCTGCAGCAACTAAAACCACTGTGCGTGTCGGTAGAACATTTTGATTCAAAGCAGCCCCCTGATCCGTAGGTTTACACATCAGCATCATCCACTTCACAGAGCCGGTACAAAGCACGCTTCGAGCTGTGTGGACGAAAAGCAGGATGCCAGCGTAATATATAAACACTCTTTGATATGGCAAGGGCTGTGCTTGGATCGGTTCTACAAACTTTAAATCACTTTCTAATTGCATTTCCCATCAGGTTTGTTCCAAGGAAGTTTTTGTCCTCTTTTTTTTTTAGTACAGTGAAAAAGAAAAAAATAGTTTCCAGTCGAAAAAATGCCCACCGTGATGCAAGGAAATAAAACACTCCTCTGTCATTTTTAATAATTTACCTCTAGCAGATTGTCTGACTAGTGTTTTCCATCTGGATGCAGCGATGAATTCTATTGCTGTGTTCTGCTCCTGGTACAGTAAAGCCTGACTGGCTTGACTCAGCAGTGCTGTTGAAAAGAACATTTAAATGCGGATGGCTTGGAGCACTTTTCAAGATGGCATCATGTGCAGACACCGTGACTCCAATCCTGCAGGGAATTGTGGAAAGACAACTTCCTGCAAAGCGTTTTGGGATTGGAGTCTTAACGACAAATAAAGAGAGCTTGAGAATTAAAGGGAATGTGATTGATGTTATTTACATTTACACACACACAGTTGCAGGGCTGAGTTCATTTTTTATATAAACGTTCATCCTGCTTGGGGAAAAGATCAGCCTGTATGCTTACACTTGGCTTAATTTTCTGGTCCTTCTCCCAGGTTTACCCCCTCCCCTCTCATTTTGAATTGCAATCCTTCAAAAAATAATCCAACTCATAAGCCTTGATCTGGTTCCTACATTGTTGAATTAGACATGGATTATCCTCTATTATGTGTATTCATGGACGGGAATGGGACAACTTGCCACGACCAACTCACCATGGAGAACCCGCTGTGGAACAATTGAACAATTCGATTTAATGATTTAAAATAAATAAAAAGTTATTTTAATTTTTGCCATTCACATTTCATTCTGTCCCTCCTTCTGCATCCTTCCTTCAATGATTCTATTCTACCATTTCTTTGATATCAGTGTAACTCTTGTCCTGTGGCAAGTTGACCGTAGTGAGTTGGCCGCGGCGAATTGTCATAGACCCATCGTGGACACGTCTCTCCTCCTGCGCAAGACCGTGTTTCCCAGAACTCAGGTTCAAAAATATGACCTCCAGGTCAAAAGGTCTGGAGACGTTCCCCCAAAGGGCATTTGTGAAGAAAGATGGGACCATACTCAGCAGGATAGCTGTGTTTACTGTGGACCACAGTTCTGTTAATAGTAGCAGCTAACAAAGGGACCTCACGGCCAACGAAACATGCTATTGGATGTACAAGAGTAATTCTTCACAATCACAGAAACAAAACAGCAACTGGGAAGGGAAGGAAGAAGAAAGTTAACAACTCAAGTGTCACAGCAGATGTTCTCTTCGCACACCTTTGACAGCAAAAACTGCCTTCTGCACATCTCTCCATGTCTTTGTGGAAACAGAACTAAAGGGGAGCCTTTTGGTTACCACCAGATTTAATTCTTTGTGCATCTAGCTGTTATAAATGGGATAGAACCACCTCCAGATAAGAAGATGTTTTCGACTTTCAACCATACTTGGGTGAGGAGCGTATTTGGACCAGACAGGGCAGAAGAGGAACCATGTCCACGTCCCCACCACCACATTCAGGAGCACAGATGATAAGAACTGTAGAAAGGGAGATCAACCACAAGTGTGGACCTTATTTTAGGATTTTGAAAAGTGGCAGGTGAGACAATAATGTGCAATAGAGGTTCATAGTGTTTTTAAACACCCTGGAAGGGAAAGAGCAATTTCTCTGATCATTTATGGTGAATACATTTTTCCCCTCTTCTTTCCCATGAACAAAGAATCCAATTTATATACCTGGATCTCTGTAAAAGGTACATCAATTCTTAGACAAAGAGCCTGGTGCAGACTATTCATCGGTGATGGCCACTGAGAAAGTTTCTGAAGAAGAAGTATGTTGAGAAGAATCCTAGCTAAGAGGGCCTATCAAGAGCAACCCTTTTTAGAAAGAGATGCTGGGATGATGGGATAGTTGAATTCAGATAAAATGTCGCTCTCTTAAAATAGGGCATCATATCCTTGCTGTAGTTAATCCTGCAGCCACCACAAAGCATCCTTGCTTGTCATTTTCATGGGAAAGCTCTTCTCGAGTCAGCAGTTGAGGAAGTCTTCCCAAAATAATATAGTCCGATAGATACTACAATTGATCTTGGTCAACAGGCTGAAATAGTATTGCTGTTAATGAAATTGCTCATCAAAGAGAGGAAGATGGAGAACTCTTATACGTTCTGCCTCTATGTCTAAGATGCTGTCTAAAACTGGCTAGGCTGCAGATAAAAGTCTCAACCCCAGCCATGGAAGATGTCCTACTTGGCCACCTCAAGATCCTGGTTCTTGCTGTAAATCCCACTAGTTCTGTAAACTAACACCTCGCATATTGGAAAAGGCACTAGTATTGGTCTACACGACAAAGACAAATCAGCTACAGAAAGAAAAGATACAGGAGGAAATTTGTGGAAGAAGTGTGTGGATCAAATGAAACAAGACCATGTCATGGTGAAGGGGTGATTAAGATCAACCACAAGCCTGCATAGATGGTTCTCGAATTCAGGAAGAGATGCTTCACAGTTCCTCAAGTTTGTTATTTGCTGAAATACTCCAGCAATATGTCTGTTCAGACAGTAACGTCAGCCTGCCTGCTGATCCAGGTCTGGCTTCTCAATCAATTCTGATCACTCAGTATACTTTGGGTGAGATGAGTCCATTCCCTACAATATTCTTTATTTAAAACATTATTATACAGGTAGCCCTCCACTTCCAACAGTTCATTTAGTGACCTGAACCCAATCACCAATTAAAATAATATCAATATGAAATTGGAAGGATGCTAGCAGCAGTCTGAATGTTCTTAATGCCAGCCTCTCGCTGTTTACATGCTCAGATTTTCTGGACCATCTTCCTTGAAAATTAACTCTGTTGCTACAGGGGACGACTCTTATAATGATAAGAATGGGGTGTGGATTCCCCAAGTAGTAATTAAGATATTACCATGTCTTCTCCTTAACCTATAATCTGAAACGGAACAATGCAGTCTGGATTATAATATGTAGATGAAAGCTGCAATGTGGACACTATCTTCTACAGCATTATTCATTTGAGAACTTAGGCTTAGCCATGGTCCAAGAGATTAGGGATGGTCTTCCAGAAGGCTCTTACACAATTCCATGAACAATTTCAGATGTGGTCCCCTCTTCTCTAGAGATTCTGGACAAGAGATACCAAATCAAAAGTCATTGTAGATGATTACACACTCTTCATTGTACACCCTTCATCCAAAGAAATCTTTTTGTTTGCACCTTTTTCAGGCAGAAGGTGGGGAATGAATGTTATTAGCTTGTGCTTTGTTCTAGGTCTTCGTTAAGTTCTTCTCTGCTTCCACTAGAATGTCTACATGAGTTTCTTTAAAGTCCTCTGTTCTGTAGGAGAACGAGCTGAGCTAGAAGGTGGGGTTAAAAGTGCCATCAGTTTGGAATCACTGCATAGCCACAAGAGACATCCCTTGAATTCTGTTGACCCTTATCTAGCACCAATTTAGCTTTGACCATTATAGGTGCAATAATAAACTCTTCTGTGGTTTGAACTCAACAAATGTTGTTAGCACTGGATATGTTCAATGCTACTCTTGTTTATAGGAAAGATGAAAATCTGGTTGGTCTGGCAGAGGTTTCCATTTTCCTCTTGGAGATAGAAAAGGATGGTCATTGCTTCCCAACATTGAACCAAGTCTGTAATAGAAGACAGAATGAAGTCATTCCTAATCCAAGCAATCTTACAGCTGACTCCCAATAATTGCTTATCTGTGTACCTTCCAAAAGAAATAGAAGGAAGAAGATAGATCAGGGAGAGGAATCACAAGGCCTCGTAGTAAAGCACAGCTCTTAAAAAACATCAGGAAACCAACCAATCCTGCCACTTGCCCAAGTTGGATCATTCTAAGACTGAAGTGCTAATGAAATGAAAGGTTGATTCAGTCTTCCTACCAAGATGAGGTTTTTAATCCCAAAGATAAAAGTCTGACCTCTTAAACTTTGGACAGAGAAAGGATTTCTCTGCTTTCTACAGATTTTGAACACCCACAATATTCTGTGTTCCAAAATAGCCAGGATGGAATTAAGACAAAGAGGAGAATTTGTTCAAAGAATTAAGGACAATTTCCTACTTCTCCAGGTACAATGAAACAGAAACAGATTAACAGAACGTAAATTTGTGAGATTGCCATGGGCCTTTCCCTCTCCAGGAGAACCTCTGATGTATTCCCAGCATTTTTTTTTCAAGAACACGCCCACATCCCCTTTCTCTCTCTTTTACGCTGATCCGACTGAAAAAAAAATATTATTACATATTGCTTCTTTATCCCTAACTAGCTTTTTTCTCGGCTGATCAAAAATTGAATTTCACCACCCCCAAAGGCTCCTGGGTTTCACCCTCACTTACTGAGGTCATAACAACCAGGTCTTGTTGTCTCTTTGGTAAAATAAAACACACACATACACACACACACATACACACGCACGCATGCACATACACACACACAAACGTACAAAAGCAACACACTGCCCAATACGCTTCTGGCCCACAACGTCTGGCATGAAAGTGTCTGTTCAGAAGGAAGCATTGGTGATGAGCTTTCTGCTCATTGGAAGTTGGATAGTCCTCATTTTTGTTCTCCTTCTGGTGTCCCTCTTCTCATACTGTTGTTGCTGGGCCATACCGAAACAAGAGAGGGGACGTGTCTTTGATTCGGACGTAGAACCTCCCATTGGGCCAGGTCTTTTGGAGCGAGAGGGGGAGAAAATTGTTGGGGAGCCACTGTTCCACGTCATCCGATACGAACACTAGTGCGAAGTGGCCCAACTGCTCTTCGCTGTAGCAGACAGAGTTGGCGTTTCCCAGGACTTTACGCGAGACCTCGTTCGTCTCCTGGACCACCAACTTCACCACGTCTTCTGCCAACATCTTGTTAGTGAGGGGCAGCTGTGAAAAAAAAAGAAAGAGAGGGAGGTGAGACCAAGAGGAAGGGCATGAGAGAAGGAGGGTATTTTCCAAGACGCTTCTTAAGAGCGCAGAGAAGAGCGACAAAAATGTTTAGGGCACTGGAGGCTAAAACATATGAAGAATGGTTGCAGGAACTGGGTAGGTCTAGTCTTATGAAAATAAAGACCAGGAGTGATATGATAGCGGTGTTCCAATATTTGAGGGGCTGCCACAAGGAAGAGGGGATCCATCTATTCTACAAAGCACCTGAAAGCAGGACAAAGAAGCAATGGATAGAAACTGATCAAGGAGAGAAGCAACCTAGAACTAAGGAGAAATTTCCTGACAGCGAGAACAATTAGTCAGTGGAACGACTTGCCTCCAGAAGTTATGGGTGCTCCAACCCAGAAGCTTTCTAAGAAGAGATAGGACAACCATTTGTCCTATCTAGAAGACAGATAGAAGACCTCCAAGGTCCCTTCCAACTCTGTTACTCTTTTATTACCTAGATAACACATTTATCAAATTAGAACCTCATATATATTTTTTTGTTTTGTACTTTCTTACAATGTGTACTCTTGGTTTGTCTCTCTCCAAGACATTTTGCAAAGCAGAAACTCCAGTACCTAGACAGAACCACACCTAGATGTAATCTCAGACTTTGTCACGAAACTAAGAGACTTCTGCTCCTTCTGGCTTACGGACACCGAGGAGGAGACCCAAAACTAAAAGAGGGACAGGACTGCTCAGTCTTGGGAAAAGCCATGATTTCCCCGCAAGCATTCCTTCATTCTCAACATTGCACCATGATGCTAATCGAGCGGAGCCGGGACTTTAAGGGTACCTTGACGCTGGTTTCTTTGGAGAGCCCCGTTTCGTACTGAGCGCACACACGTACGATGAAAGAACCTGGCAACCTGGCCCAGTTTGCTACATGTCCCGGCTCAGAGGTGTCCCGGAAGGTCTGAGTCCACTCTACTGAACGTGTCCGAAACACGGCCCCTGAGCTCTCTGCATGCCAATCGTGGCTGGAGCTGAAAGCCGACCTCGTTATGGTTGGCACGGGGCTGCAGTGGGCAGCAGTCCTGCTCTCGGTTGGGGAGCTGTCCACCGAACCAGGGCAAGACTTCCTGGCTCCGTGGCAAAAGGGCTTGGGGAAATCCAGACTGCTGGTCCGGACGCAGTAGGCCTGCCTTTTCTCCGTGATGCGTAGCAGTTCAATCTGCCGGCTGGGAAGCACAAAATCACTGTCGTATTGCTCGGAGAGGGATGGAGGCTCCTTGGCAGGCATGGCGGGCACCTTGAGCTCATGGCTCTGGAGGACGTCCGGGGCGCTGTCCCTCAGAGGGCGGGGGGTTCTCCTCCTATAGCATTCGAGGCCTGAGGACGAGTAGACGAGATCCAGTTCCCGGGGGCTCTGGGCGCTGCTGGAGTCATAATCACTGTCGGTGGCTAAGAACACTTCTGAGGAGCCCTCCTCATCTGAGACCCCGTGCGAGTCTGCAAGGAGAAGACACAAAGGTCACTGCAGCCTCTCCCTCCCTCCTGTGGTCAGGTATCTCCCAAGGACAGGCAGTCCTCGATTTTCATTTAGGGACTGCTTGAAGTTACAATGGCGCTGAAAGAAGTGACCCACAAGCGTTTTTCACACTTACAACCTTTGCAGCAACCCCCATGGTCATGCAATCAAAATTTGGACGCTTGGCAGCTGACTCATATCTATCTATCTATCTATCTATCTATCTATCTATCTATCTATCTATCTATCTATCTATCTCTGTCTATCTTGTCTGTCTATCTGTCTATCTATCTATCTATCTATCTATCTATCTATCTATCTATCTATCTATCTACCTATCTATCTCTGTCTACCTTGTCTGTCTGTCTGTCTGTCTGTCTGTCTGTCTCTATCTATCTATCTATCTATCTATCTATCTATCTCTGTCTATCTATCTATCTATCTATCTATCTATCTATCTCTGTCTATCTATCTATCTATCTATCTATCTATCTATCTATCTATCTATCTATCTCTGTCTATCTTGTCTGTCTGTCTGTCTCTGTCTATCTATCTGTCTGTCTGTCTGTCTGTCTATCTATCTATCTATCTATCTCTCTCTCTCTATCTTGTCTGTCTGTCTATCTATCTATCTATGTCTGTCTGTCAAACAAAAATTACAAATTTGAACGAACCAAATGAAAAAAAACCCATTGAGCCCAAGGTTTACTGTTGCTGAGCAAGGCAGTTGTTATCTAAGAGATAGACACAGACAGACAGACAGATAGATAAATAGACAGAGACATATAGATAGATGAGATAGATATAGATAAGATAGACAGACAGACTGATAGATAGACAGGTATAGATAGATGACATAGATAGATAGAGAAGATAGATAAGAGATAGATAGATAAGAGATAGATAGACATAGACATAGATAGAGGGGATAGGGATTATTCCTTGTTTGTCCTGGAGAGTTTCAATAGCCAATTTTAAGGCAGAAGTCACCTACCAGAAGAGGGATCCAACTGGTAGTCTACAAGGTCCCCTGTAAAAACATAACACACACTCACCAGAGTTGAGCTTACGGCTCATTTCAGGAGACGGGTTTGGCGAGGGAAGGAAGTCTAAGTGAGAAGAGGTTGACTGAGTTGTCTCATTTTGTGCTGTGCCCGATTCTTTGATGAACCACACAAGTGGGAGGCCACAAGATGGTTGCTTGTACCGGGCATGTTGCAAGGCATCCATCATCCAACGCATTTCTCGCCAAATCTCTTCCATTTGCTGTCCAAGAAAAGGGAGCCAAAGAATCAGATCTGAATTTCAGAGAGCTGCAAGACCACACATTCACCATACTTTGCCTATCATAGGTTTCTGGTAGAAACCACAATGGTGTCCAAAAGCACCATCATCCAAAACCCAAAGCAGAAGTTACAATGTCTTCAAGATCCCCACGGTCACGTGATCAAAATTCAGACGGTCGCAGTGTCATGTGATCCCCTTTTGTGATCTTCTGACAAGCAAAGTCAATGGGGAAGCCAGGGTTACTTAACAGCCATGTTACTAACATAACAACTGCTGTGATTTGTTTAACAACGGTGGCAAGAAAGGTTGTAACCTGAGGTAAAACTCACTTCACAACTGCCTCACTTAGCAATAGAAAAGTTGTGGTCAATTGTGATTGTTAAGTTGAGAACTACCTGTACTGCAATAGATTTAGTTGGCGCCATACTAACTTTTATGTTTTCCTGCATTTAATTAATGTTTTTATTTCTTTTATGTATGTTTGCTTTTTAAATACATATTTTAGCTTTTAAAAAAGTGTTTAACCTCATGGGTTTTATATTTTTTAGCTTTTTAAAATGATTTTTAACCTTGTGTATTTTTAGTAACCTTTAAAGTTATTAACTGTTTATATTCCATCCTTCTTAGGCTGATCTATGACCGTAAGGTAGATTTCGTTTGATTAGCGCGGCCTAGATTATATTGACACAACTAGGACTTACAGCTTGGGCAAGCGGTTAAATACATATCGATCCCACATTTTCTGTCTCATATTTTCTGTTTCATATGGTTGATCGGGATTCTGATAATTCTGATAAGTGGACTAAATATTCTTATGTTGAAATGACAGAAATAAAATTCAAGCCTTAGCAGGCCTTCGGAGTTGAGGAACCTTTGATAAAGAAGCCACAAGCTTACAGATGAGCATCTGATCGTAACCACAGGATGCGTGCTCAAGTATTTTTGTAACATCTGTACCTTATCTACCATAAGCCAGGTTCCTGTTATGCAACCAAGTGGAACTAAGACACATATGTATGCTTGCTTCCAAATGCATTCGGGGTTCTTCCAGCCTTGTGGCAGGACTCATCTTTGTCCAGTGCTAAATAAAGGTGTTACCTAGAGAGAGAACTTGGACTCTGCCTGTTGGTTCATGCTGAGCCACACCTGGTTCCTTGCTTCACAATACCTGTATATAATCCTGAACTTGTTGGTGCCGCTGTTTGGCAGTAGTTACTTCTGCGTCTGAAAAGGCCTCCCTGAGGCTCTGTTGAGAGAGCAGTGATTCCAGCTCTAGAAATGCAGATACTTGGCAATACTGGCTAATGAATTCATGGTCGTAAATGAAGAAGTGAACTAGAAAAGAAAGAGAAGGAAGGACATTGGATGTCGTGAAAGAAAAAAGCATCAAAGAAGCAGAAGCTGATTCTTGCATTGATTCAAATGGAAAGAGGCCTCCTATGATTTTTGATCTCTAGTTTAAGTGGCATTTGATGATGGGAGACCTATTTATTGGTAACTTCAAAACTTCAGCATCTACAGCTTTGTCTGTTAGTCCCAAAGTGCTTTTTCAAGGGCCAACTGGATTTCCTTGTTTTTCTTTCAAGGCGTTTCGCTTCTCATCCAAGAAGCTTCTTCAGCTCTGACTGGATTGTGGGGCTGAAGAGGCTTCTTGGGTGAGAAGTGAAGCGTCTTCAAAGAAAAACAAAGCAGGTCCAGCTGCCTCTTGAAAAAGCACCTTTGGGACAAGCACGATCAGGACGACTGAGAATCTCCATGGACCTTTGTGTGTTAGTTACTCGTTCTTTCCAGATCGTTTTTCTTGATTCAAAAAACTACACCTTTTCATACAAAGGATGGAGCACATGCTTCAAAGAGAAAAAATAAATCAATCTGAGTCAATTGTAAAAAAAAAAAATGATTGCAGTGTACTATGAGTTCGGCATGGGAAAATGCCTTCTTTTCTAGAGAAGAGAGACAGCGCAATGATTTCATACAGGGAAAACAACACAGCAAAGAATAGCATGATGGAATCTTACCTTCAAGGAGGACAACGGGGTCTAGGACAACTCACTGTGGCCACCTCGCCATGGCTGAATCCCACTTGCTGCGGGACAACTGACCGCATACAATTCCACACGGGATAACTCAACGCAATCAGTGTTATCCGCATTGGTTCTTCGACATTATTTCCATTTTTGTCAGTGGAAGCAATGTCGAAGAAACCGGGTGGATAACATTTATCACACTGAGTTATCCCGCATGGAATTATCCACGGGGAGATGGCCACTGTGAGACGGCCGCGGAGAGATGCCACGGGGAGTTGCCCACAGGGAGTTGTTCCATTCCAGGGACAAGGAATGAAGTCCTCCGTGCAGTTGCTCACCTAGCTCGAAGATCTGAAGAGGAAGGGTGAGGAAGCCAGTCCGAGGGGTGTGAGGGTTATTCTGGCCAGGAGCAGTACACACATCATCTGAAGGAGGAAGAAGTAGAAGAAAAGAGACCTGCCTTCCAAAGTCCAGAACTTCCTGACTGTACAGGCGGAAATCTTTGGCCTGAAAAAAAAAAAAATTCAACAGTGGAAAATAGTTTTATTGGTGTGAAGTCTTACGTTGTAATTGACTTTCTCCAAGCTCCCAGTTGAAGAGGTATGAAACAGAGAGGGAGGGGGCTTCTCATTGCAGCACCATGTTTATTTTTTATTGCACTCATATCCTCCCTCTTTCTTTGATGCTAAAATATTGGCCCAAAGTTACTCCAAGGTTACTCTGTAACTATATGGTCAAGTGAGGACCTGAATCTGAACCTCCTGAGTCCATGTTTGATCTGTTAATCAATGGTGATGGAGGAAAGTGGATTCATAAAGATCTTTTTATATATATATATAAAAACTAGCTTGTAATTCCCAACCATTCAGCAACTGCCAAAATCAACAATGTCCAACCTTTTTTTTGGGGGGGGGGTTATATTGAGATGGCTTATAATGACCAGAATGTCTTAGAAAAATATTTTGAACTTTCCCATTGTCACACAGACTTCTCATTAGATTCTGACGAATAATGTACAATACAAATGCATTTTACTCGAGGTCGGAAGCAAAGGAATTTGAGAAGCTACTATTTTAGTGGCCATTTCCAAGTCTTATTCAATTTCCCCCTGAATTAATTGGGCTGAAGAATGCCCAAATATTATGACAATTTAGGGCTGCTTAATATTTTAAAGAAATAAAATAAAGTCCCTCCAACAAGACGTTTTGTGAATTTTGAGCCTGACAAATAAACAAAGGATGTAGATCTGGATTAGTTAATATTTGTAAAGCTGATTTGCTTTAGAAGTGGGGCTTTATCACCGTTCAGGCTACAGATATGAGTCTCAGCTGTTCAATGCCCCCCCCCCCCAGGCCCAATGTAATATTTCTGGTCGTATAAGTGGTTCTAAAGTTTTATTGTGAATTGAATACTAAAATCTGGAGAGAGGCTGAGAGCAGATGCGGCTGAATTAATAATTTAACTTTCCCCAAAATTGAGGACATGCCTTACTGGCATTGCCAATCATTAAGAGATATACAGATGCATACATTTGATTCACATCCCTCATATGAAGCTCTCAAGGAGAGGGTTACAAGTGGGTTGTTGTTCCCATGACAACAATTTACACCCTCTTACATGTGAGTTAACTGGACTATTGTTAAATGCACTCATATCAGGTCATTTATATCAACGAGGCGTTAACAAGATTGACTTGCCCAAGATCGGGGCCACTGTGGCCTTGTAAAGAATCTCCATCAAAACTGGAAAGATGTCAACCTTTGCCTAAACTTCATTGTTGTGGATTGTAAGAATAAGATGGGACCAGTTCAGACATGCTATAAAATCCACAATATTTCTTTCTGCCTACCCCCATAACGTGATTCCCACCTAGGATCTACCTCGTGAAGTGGGATGTTGACCAGTTGCATCAACTCTCTGATGGCCCCTTGGAGCTCCTGGAGAAAAAGCTGCTGAGAAGTTTCCAGTTCTTGCTCTGAGGGAACAGGGTCTTCCATGCTAGCCAGGGTCTGCAGCCATTCCCATTCCTCTCTTGAATGTGGGAGAACGGATAAATGCAGAGAGGAAATCAGGGAAGTAAATGCCTCCTTATCCACCGTAGACAAGTTGAATCAAACAATGGGCTTTGTAGTGTTGGTACTTTCATACTTCAAGCAGCAGACGACCCTGCTGCTTGACTAATGCAATTGATTTTCCATTCCATTAACTGTATACAGGTAATCCTCAACTTACAACCAGTCACTTAAACTACTTAAGATCCAGATTCAAAGTTCTAACAGATCCCACTCCCTCAGACCACCACCCCAATGTAGAAAAACAACAGGCTAAGCTGGAAAGTGGGGTTAAATGTGTCATCAGTTTGGAATCCTTGCATTGCCACAAGAGACTCAAGTCCAGCCCCCTGTGAATGCTGTTCACCTAGTGGCAATTTAGATTTGACCATTGGTTGACCAGATTCTTGTGTATGGGTAGTGATAATAAACTCTCCTGTGCTTTGAACTCAATGAAGGCTCCTGGTTATTTGCATTCACATGACCAAACATTAGGCACTTGGCAACTGAACTGCGTTTACGGTTGCTTACAGCATCCTGATTTCACATGACTGTGTTTTGCAGTGGTTGTGTGGAAACCTGGCAGTTATTTCCAGTTTTTTTTGGGGGGGGGGGGTAAAACCACGCCCATAGCAAGTCACTGGTTTGGTTTACGACTGGTTGGGTTCATTTAACAACTACCTCAAGAAATGTTGTAAAATCAAGTTATTCAGGTGTTTTATGACCGTCACAAGTTACAACCCTGATGGCCAGGCTCCATCACAATCCTAAATTAAAGGCAACCTATATTTCACATTGTGTATACAATTCATGACCTGGCTATATCTGGTTTTAAAATTCCCAAGCAAATCTGCAGGCAAACCATCGGCCCAGTTTCTATAACTTTGTCTTGGGTCTCTCTCTCCCCCCTTTGCTGTTTTGTTTTGGCCAGGAGATGAACTTGCAAAAAAAAATCTCAGCTCAACCTAATCTGGCTACAGAGATAGAACGACCGTTTGGAAGAGCCGCCAATAAAAATCAGCTCTCATTCGAAAGTCCTACCTGGATATGTTGGGATTGCTCCGTATTTTCACATGACATAAGATGTTGGGTAACTGTTCCGGCACCAATACTCGGATCTGGTCAACTGCGCTGCAAAGCTTCAGGTAACCCAGATAAAGTCCAGGGGGAAGCGCCTGGCTGCTGTTCTGATGGTAAGCTAATTTCTCCTGGGGGAAAAAAAAAATCATTAATAAGAAATGGCCATGGAGAGGATAGCCTGTTCTCCCAGGAAGTCTTGCTGAAAAAAATTTCATGAAATCCAAGAAATGGGAAAAACACGATTATCAGGCACTAGGCTAGAAACCAGGTGATGGTGAGTTCTAGTCCTGCCTTAGGCATAAAAGCCAACTGGGTGACTATGGGCCAATCACCAGGAGATAGTGAGTTCTAGTCCCGCCTTAGGTATGAAAGCTAACTGGGTGACTTTGGGCCAATCACCAGGAGATGGTGAGTTCTAGTCCTGCCTTAGGCATGAAAGCCAGCTGGGTGACTTTGGGCCAATCACCAGGAGATGGTGAGTTCTAGTCCCGCCTTAGACATGAAAGCCAGCTGGGTGACTGGCTTTCAAGGGCTAGGAAACAGCGAGTTCTATTTCTACTTCTTTCTACCTTAGGCATGAAACTGGTTGACTCTGGGCTGATCGCTAGGCGTGTGTGAGTTCTAGTCTCACCTTAGGCATGAAAGCCAGCTGGGTGACTTTGGGCCAGTCACTCTCACTCAGGCCAGCCCACCTCACAGTGTTTTTTGTGGTTTCCCCAATAGGAGGAAGAGAGGAGTAACAGGCCTGTTTGCCACCTTGAGTTACTTTTTAAAATAATAGAGGTGGAACAAAAATTATCTATCTAAATAAATAAATGAGAATCAGCCTAGGGCAGGGATAGGCAACCTTGGCTCTTTTATGACTCATGGACTTCAACTCCCAGAATTCCCGAGCCAGCACGGCTCAGTTTGGAAACCTCTCCCTTTCCCCTCAGCATGGCTGGCTCAGGAATTCTGGGAGTTGAAGTCCACAAGTCCTAAAAGAGCCAAGGTTGCCTGCCCCTACGCTAGAGTTAAAAGACAGGTGGTTAAATAAATAAGAAGCCAAGCGAATTGATCAATTTGAATTAAAGCTTCAACTGAATCATTTTGTCTGTAGTTTCTTGCTTCTAACCCGCATCCAAAGTCCTCAGAGACAGGCTGGTAAGGCTGGGGAGTCACCAGCCACATAACAGAGGATCAAGTTTTGAGGAACAGCCAGACCGAGGTTGCAATCTCAAGTAAGAGACAGGCAGACTTGAACTAGCCCTTTAGTAGCTTGGCCTTGGCTAATCCTAGCAACCCCTTTGAACAAACGCTGGATGTTCCAAGAGCCTTTTGTTGTCGCAGATGCTTAGCCGCAGCAAAAGGAAATGGAAGGACAGAGAAATCTCCCAAGGGGTCAGGAAGAGAGGAAGGGATAGGCATTCATAGAAGGGGATTCTTTGGCTAAGACCTGCTCAAAGAGTTGGGAAAACAACTGTGACCGGAAGCGGAGACAGCAAATGTCTCCACAATAATTAACTGAATCCCTGGTGGAAACCTCGACAACTGGAGACCCCGTTCTTTCATTTCTGCTGAGGGACACATACCACAGGGAGAAAGTAAGCCACGAGGGACCTAAGGCTCTCTCCTGCCTCAAGAGGGCTTAGCGGGATCTGAATTTTAATTAAAAAAGAGGGGCTTAGCTCCTTAATATAGTTTAAATGGCAGGGTTTTGTTCTGAATGATGAATAATATCTAAATATAAGATTGATAAAGTCTGTCAGGCGACTGGTATTCTATCTATCTATCTATCTATCTATCTATCTATCTATCTATCTATCTATCTGATTTATTAGCCGCTGAATTCAGCCACTGGTATTTTACTTATTTATTTACTGACAATTATATATTGGCTACCCATCTTATCACAGGGTTTTGTCCTAAATGATGAATATTTAAATATGATAGATGAAGTCTGTCAGGCCACTGGTATTCCTTCCTTCCATCCATCCATCCATCTACCCATCTATCAAATTTATTAGTCATTGAATTCTGTCTGGCCACTGGTATTTTACTTATTTACTTACTGACTTAATTATATACCAGTATTGGGCACTCATCTTAGCACAGGGTAACTGTGAGCAGCTTAACCATGTTAAACATTCAGTGTATTTTCTAATTAGACTGGAAGCATCTTACCAAAATCCAAGCTCAAGGTCTCCTCTATTGTACCCTAGCAGAGATAACTTACTGGGAGATACTCAGGATCTGTGACAGCCTCTGTATAAATCATTTCTCCTGCCATTAAAGCAGTATTTCTAAATCTTGGATGCTTGAACAGGGGTGGAATTCAACTCCCAGAATTCCCCAGCTTTGCTGCCTGCAGAATTCTAGGAATTGAAGGCCACCTATCTTCAAGCTGACAAGGTTGAGACATGCCACATTAAAAGTGATATTTCCCCCCCTCAATAACTGAAGGAGGACCTTGCCTTTTCTGCTATGAAATGAGTTACCTGCATGGTCATGAGAAGGACATCCAGAGCTGTAGGTTCTTCGGGGGAAGAAATTGACTTGCGAGTGGTCTGCAGCTTTGACAGAGGGACCCAGCGAACGCTCTCAAAAGTCTGGCTGGTCTTCACTTCTTTTAGGGTGACCACCAAAATGTTCCCTTGCTTGTCTTTGATGGGTTCGAAGAACACCTGACCCAGGTCTTGAATTCCTAGCAGACCCTACAGAGCAACCGAGAGAGAGGTGACAGCCTCAGATGGTGTATCTACTACAGGTTTGCAGGCGTGCAATGCAGTTGGGGGTGTAATTATCTAGGTCAGGGGTCTTCAGACTCGGCCCTTTTATGACTCATGGACTTCAACTCCCAGAATTCCTCAGCCAGCATGCCTGGCTGAGGAATTCTGAGAATTGAAGTCCACGAGTCATAAAAGGGCCGAGTATGAAGACCCCTGATCTAGGTGGACGTTTCATGTTTTCCTTGGTAAGAAAATGACACCATTCTTTACTATGTATAGGTGGTTCTTGACTTGTACGACGGCATGGAAAAAAGTGACTTATGACAGTTTTTTACACTTACAACCATTGCAGCATCCTCAAGGTCACGTGATCAAAATTCGGACGCTGGGCAACTGACTCGTACTTATGACAGTTGTAATGTCCCGGGGTCACATGATCCCCTTCTGCGACCTTCTGACAAGCAAAGTCAATGTGGAAGCCAGATTCCCTTAACAATCATATTACTAATTTAACAACTACACTACTCACTTAACAAATGCTTCTGTTTTAGCAACAGAACAGTTGGGTTCCATTGTGGTTGATAAGTTGGGCTACCTGTAAAATGGACTGAAGGGACCATTTTTCACACTTTTAAGATGTTGGAGCCGAAGAGTTTAACTTGGATCTGCTTAATGACGATGTGATTCGCTGAACGACTGCAGCAAAAAAAAGTGTCATAAAACTAGGTGTGACTTACTTAACAATTGCCTTGCTTAGCAACGGAAATTCTGATTCCCAACGACAGTCGTTGGTCAAGGACAACCTGTATGCGCTGGACAGGTGTGTCCTAAAATCTTTGGAGCTGTTGTGTCTGAAAGACGCCGTTTTTACCTGCATCTGTGAGATGGCCAGCAGCATCTTGAAGCGCGTTTGGAGAACACACGAACAGGAAGACTGGGAGACGGAAACGCACTGTCGCAGCCACATGATTTCATCCCACATGCACGACACCTACGGCAAACACAACAAAAAGGGTGTGCACCAATCAGGCTAAGGTTCTCAGGCTCATCCCCAGCTTGGACGCCTACCCCAAACCGAGATCAACTCTGTCAAACATCTCCTGTCCCCTTTTTCTGCCAAGAAGATGCTTTATATATATATAAAAGCCATACTGATAGGAAGATTCAAAAGAGGCTATTTTGGCAGATGACACTTCACTGCACCTCCTCGGATGAAGAGAAAGAAACGCTATCGCTAAATTCTTCAATAACAGCCAATTAAAACCCCCTAAAAGCAGCAAATTAAAACCTGCTAAAAACAGTCATTATGCATCAAGCAGGGCACTGTATCAAGTCAACAGCCTTAATTAACATATGGAGCGACTTTAGGTGAAGAATGCCTAAAGCCAGGGTGAGGGGTGGCGATACTTCACGTCTCCAGATGTTAATTGAAGCAGGAAAATCTGGTTCCAAAGGCAGATAGGTCTGAACACAGAGTCATCCCTCTGGGAAGCTACGCCGCAAAGGGCTTACCGATCCGATCGTGGCACACATGGCTAAAACCGTTAAAATTTTATAAGGGGCTCACCTTGGTGAACCAGAGGAAATCCTGCATAAGCAAGCAGGAATAGGTGTCATCAATCTCCACCACCGGGATCTGGTCTTCGGGGGTCACCAGAATATTGTCATCCTTGTAGAAAATGGAGGCGAGATAGAGACCCCTGGGAAGAGAGGAAATACGTTGTCAGTTTATCAAAATATAACCTGCAGAAATGCAAAGAGAAATGAAAATAATTAGGAAAGCAGGGGGGAGGGAGAAGGGGAAGAAGAAAAAAAGAGTAGGGTAAAAGTGAAAATGTCTATGGAGATTCTCCATTATCCAGGTCATGGTTGGCCCAAAGGCAATTGGACTTTCTTGATTTTCTTGATTTTCCAAGAGGCAATTGGACTTTCTTGATTTTTCCTTGAAGGCCTTTCCCTTATTATCCAAGAAGCTTCTTCAGTTCTGACTGAATGGTGGAGAATGGAAGGGTTTAAATTCCTGGCAGGAAAGATTTATATTCCTTTCTGGCAAAGAGGGCTAGCAACCAGATGATGGCAAGGCGCAAAAATCCTTCCATCCTCCACCATTCGGTCAGAACTGAAGAAGCTTCTTGGATGAGAAGCAAAACTGTCTTAGTGACTTCCAACTCTTTTTAGCTCAGTGGAATAAGGTAATAATATACAACCTCAATTTTTTTTTACTTTTACATAATAATACATACTACCCATTTCTACAACGACAAACCTATCTAATCAGCAAAACCCAAAAACAAAGTTTCATTTTTTTTTCCCATCTCAGGCACAAAGTCCAGAAGCGGTTTCCAGCAGGAACAAAACTAATTGTATTCTTTCCTTTAATCAAAGCAGTCAGTTTAGCCAACTCTGCTAACTCCATCAACTTTGGCCACCATTCCTCTATTGTGGGAATCAAAGCATCCTTCCAGAAGAGAGAATATACTTGTGAAGGATTCTCTCACCGTGGAAGATGGACAGAGACCTTGTCCCAACTTTCCCCTTCATCCTCACATATCTAGGAAAGTCTTTTTTTTAAAAAAATAATTTTATTCAAATACAAATAATACAAACATAACACATATAAATCCAAATAAAAAACAGTACACAAATACAAATATTACAGTGCACCTGCCCTCCTGGAGCCCATTTTTATGACCTATATTTCTTCTCATATAACAACTAACAATATACAATATATTTCAATTGTGCCCTTACCCCCTCCAAAGCAGCATATATTCCTGAGTAAGTTTATTCCCTTTGCCTTCCACCAACATTGTTTTTTATAAAATCCTCCTGTATTTCATTATTTACTTTTAATCATCCCTTTTTTAAATTTAATTTCTGTTGTTAATTTATCATTTATTGCTGTATTCCATATTTCATTAGACCACTCATTTCTTTGAATAACCCAATTCCGTCTCCAATATGTAGCCATCGCTAATCTAGCTGCCATTATCAAATTTACAATCAATTCCTTTTTTTGCTTCATTTATATCTTGTTTTTCCACCAGTAACAGTAATGCAATCCTCGGTGACATATCTACATTTACATTCAAGGACTCAATAGAAAGTTCAGCAGCCACGGGAGCAGATACAAAAATCCTATGTTCTGGAGAATACCTCTCCCTCCCCCCAAATCTTACCTTTTCAGGGTCTTTAAAAATTTGCTACCAGGATGAAAGAGGTATTTGAGACTTTTGGAGACAGAATGTTTTCTACTCTGGGGTTGGTTCTTACACGGTTCTGAAAATCAAGGAGAACATGTAAAAATGATTACATATCCAACTTCTATTGCTGTTGTTTCCCCCACCACCACCACCTTTCCTCCTTAATTCTGGCTACATTAAATGTGCAATGCCTGAAGGAACCTGGAGAGACTTAAACCGAATCAGTGTTAAGACACAGAAGACACATCTAAGTGATCCCAATAAAGATCTTTTTAGCGCGGTGATGGCAAAAAGTTTAGCTCGCTGTGTCAAAAATTTGAAAAATGCCCAAGTCGATTCTGTTGGCATGTCAGCCCTAACCCTTCAAACACAAGTGGACAATTCTTCACATATTCATTTATTTGAGGAGGGGGGAAATACAGTCCTATCATGTGTGCAAGGTCTGAGGAATAAAACATATTGAGAGAGATTGGAGGAACTGAATATGTACAGCCAGGGAGGATAGAAGGAAAAAGGAGGACATGATTGAAACCTTTAAGTATATTAAGGGTGTGAATGAGGTTCTAGAAGGTAGTATTTTTATTACTAAGCAAAAATCAAGAATACATATAAGTTCAAACTAACAGGAGGGACGTTCAAAAGTAATTTTAGAAAGTATTACTTAACAGAAAGAGTGGTGGAAGCTTGGAACCAACTTCCAGGGAAGACCGTGGCTCAGCCGCCAGTAACTGAGTTTAAACATGCTTGGGATAAACACATGTCCATCATCTGACAAAAATTTTAAAAAGTTAAATTAAAATAAAAAAAAAATAGAACCTCAAAGGGCAGGGGGTTTTCTGCCATCAGTTTTCCATATTTCTAAGTGTGGCGCTATGCATTATCTAAAGAAATGCCAGCTAATTACAAAAACGAAATACGAGTAAGACAAACTCATTTTTGAAGCGTCCAGAGGCTGAATGAGAACATATCTCATTTTCGTGTGGGTCTTCGAAAATCACACAATAGGGCATGCTTTCAAGAAGAGGTGTTGTTGGATGTTGGTGAACACCAGCGTGTCACCCAAAACATTATGGTGTGCCATCTTTAACGTGTATGTCATAGGTTCGCCACCACTGTTTTCATGTATTCAGCGTAACTGATTACTTATCTTTAGCTATCAAAAAGGTTACTGGGTTAAAATCAAGATCTGAAATCCATTGCTTGTTGCCCTCTTTACTAGGATCCTCTGTCTTCCTAACAAATCTTCTGATGATGATCTCTCTTTTTTATTACTTTCCTTTTCAGCTCTTCTAAAATCTGTATTTCTTCCATGCATCTCTTCTGTAGCTGCCTTGTTGCTTTTCAGCTTAATTTGATTTTTGTCCCTCTTTGCTATTGATGGATTTCTTTCTATGTTCTAACATTGTTTCTACAGCTAATTTTTGCTCTTCAAACAGGCAAGTGACAGCCAGTTTTTAGCTGTAGCCACATGCGACTATAAGATAAGAACGGGGAAGAACAACTTAAAATGACTTTATTACTACATTACTTTAATTGTACAATACGTTGCTTATTGCGTTCATCTTAATAACCCTGTGAAGGATGTCATAATTATTCTAATTTAAAGCAGCAGAAAATTAAAAAGATAAGGAAACCTGGTCCCACTTGTTCCAAATGAAATTTGGGAAAAGAGCAAAACAGTAACTGGATCTGCCTTTTTTAGATCTAATCTATTCAATTTGATCAAGCTGTTCTGAATGTTGTAAGTCATTAAGATTTGATTTCTCAAGAAGTCACCTTGTTGGCTGTGACAAGGAGACCTCCACTATTCTTGTATTTTAATCTTCTCCTTTTGCAAGGGGTCCTTTAACTCTGTCAGAGCTGGGACTGTGTGCAATGTTAAACATCTGGAAAATGCCACAAGCTCTCAGGATGGCTCATCCCAAAAAGATTTTTTCATGCCCACGCCTTGCTACCTGAACACTTTGAAAACAATGGCCCACAATAGATTTAAATGTACTTTTGTCATCTAAACCAGGGCGTTTCAACCAGTGGTACGGGTACCACCTGTGGTACATTGGCACCTGGCAGGTGGTATGTGACCATCCTAGAAAAGTGGTAGCAGGGGAGGAGAATGAGCTGAACCAGTGGCAGCACCGCACAAGCCTGAGTGAGAGACGGCTGGAGCTGCAAGGCTGTGAGGGCTCAGTGGAAGCGCCAGGATCAGTGCCGCTTTCCAGCTGATCGGCGCTTTTTCGGGAGTTTCAGGGCTCAGTGGAAGCACTAGGATCAGCGCCGGGCTCCAGCTGGAAAGCAGCACTGATCCTGTGCTTCTGCTGAGCCCAGAAGAAGCGCCTATCAGCTGGAATGTTGCAGCCTCTCCAGGGTCTTGTGATTTACATTCAGATGCTTGGCAACTGATTCATATTTATGACGGTCACAGTGTCCCAGGGTCATGTGAAGTGACCAAAACCTGCTGCAACCACCCAGCAGACGGGGGGAATAAAAACCAAACATCCCCCACCCCACCCCCGCTGCCAATCCTCAAGAGAAATGCTCACAACAATGAAAACCTCGGACAGCAGGAAGAGCGCTGCTGGGCGGGCAGGCACTTTGCTAGGCGGCTGATGGTACTATGATGTTGCCATGTCCTAAAAGTGGTACAATGGGTGAAAAGGTTGAAAAGCCCTGATCTAAACAGTCTGGACAGGATTAAATAGAAACCCATTAACAAACTTAGAATAAACCACAGAAATGCTGGTTGTATCTGGAAGTGGTTAGTCAGCCCCACTAGGCAGACCAGACCGCGCAATCAACTCTGCAGGAACACTACAACTATTTTTATTGAGATGGCTATTAATAACAGAAACTTGTATGTCTTGATTGTGCTTTACCTCCAGACAATCGGAGAGGTGCTTACTTGAACAGCTTCTAAATACTATCACGTTTTGCAGGGCTCAAAGACTGTTTCAACCAACTTTGCCAAGGTAACAGCTCCTGCATATTTCCATCAAGGCCATCTCTATTATTCTCTGTGGCAGATGATATATTAAATTTAAGAAGTTGTGAATGCTCCAAAACTGGAAGTTTTTAAGAAGAGACTGGACAGCCATTTGTCTGAAATGGTATAGGGTTTCCTGCCTGAGCAGGCGGTTGGACTAGATAACCTCTAAGGTCCCTTCCAACTTTATTATTATTGTTGTTGTTGTTGTTGTTGTTGTTGTTGTTGTTGTTACTCCTGATGCTTACAAGCAGCCCAGGGAGAATAATAATAGAACCCTTGGGAGCTGAATTCAATTACATTAAAGGTTATTTGTTTGGACTGGCATTGACTTGCCATGTTCAGCATCCACACACCAAAGCTCGTTGCAACATCCAATACTGGCCTCCATTCAGAATGCTTGAAATGCTTTCCTCTGTCAAATCCCCAGACTGTCTTTAGACACGCGATAGTACTCACCATGACACACACAGTGTTGGTGCACCATCTTCACCTGGTTGAGGAGATGGTCCAGAGCTTCGGCCTGTCCTCTCTGACGTGGAGCCCTCCCATCGTATTCTCTCCAGTCTGGAGTGGGCACAGGATGAATTAGGTTAGTGACAAAAGTACCTCATCAGGGCAAGCAGACGTTGCTTGCACTGATGGTGTTACCTAGTTTGGTAATGAAATGCCTTCAAGAAAACAAGCAAGCTCAGAGAGCACCAAGAACCCCACAGTTCTCCTCCTCCTCCTCCTCCTCCTCCTCCTCCTCTCCTTCCTCCCCTCTGCAAACCAGACAATCTTCTAACACTGATGATGTTGGGTCAAGAAAACCACCAAACTCAGAGAACACTAAGTCCACAGTTCAGCCCTGAGCTATGAATATTTTCCTCAATTGGTCCTGGGCTTCACTCCGATTCATAGACAACGCAATACAAACATGGTCAATACAGACACAATAACTCAACAATAGTAACACCACTGAGGGGACTTATTTGCAAGGATGATGCCACCATCAGGAGATGACAGATCACCATAACAAACAAGGTCATCTCCTTTGCAGTTGGTGTCACTGTTTTCCGAGCACATTCCTTCTGCTGTCCTTCACTGGACCGAAGGTTCTCCCGACCAGCTGAGAAAGGTAAAGTTCACTTTCTGCTTCTTGGAGATGAGGTGGCCCAGCTACTGAACAGCCTGGACAAATGCCTGGGTTACATTAGCTTTACATTACTTGGCTTACACACTCTCCCGTGCCATAGTTTTCCACGGAAAGTTCAGCTCCATTAATTTTGGCTGAAACCGAGTGCTATTTTTAGGTATTTTAAAAACACCCAAGGAAGAGCCTTGAGTTTTTATGGGGCAAAAGTTGAATTCTTCTGTTTTTTTTTTTAATTTAGAGAAAGCCAACAATAATTCAATTGCTAATCTTGGCTGTGTTCAACAGTTGCCTACAGCAGCAAGGGAGCCAAATCTGGAGGGCCCAATCCATCCGATGCATTTACTGCAAAGTCAAAAGGTGATTTTGGCAGCGTTTTCTCAAAAAACGTTGCCCTTTGACCCTGGAAGCAGCCTGCTTCTGTTCTTCCTACTTACTTGAGGGGATGGCATAGGCTGGTAGGGAGGTTTGGGGGGGTCCCCAGCCCTTCATGTTGTAGGCAGACACCTGGACATAATAAGCTGTACCCTGTGAAGAAATAGCAAAGAATAAAGATACCGAAGCCCAGAGTGCTGTGCAGATTCTGAGGTTTTGCTTGATAAAAAAAATAAAAAATACAGGAAACCAGGAGTTGCCTTTAAGCTTTTATGTTTTTATTCAGCTGAACAAAGACAGGCTCCTCTAAAAGAGAGAAGCCCCGAATGACCAGAAATCCTTGTATTTATTCTTTCTGATTACATAAGCAATCCACCTAGCAAAGCTGACACAAACATAAGATCAAGATTTCACCTGTTATTTTAAAGTCTCAAATCAAATATAGAATTTAACCAAGGGGATAAGTCTTCCCCTTGCAGCTTTGCAAATTACATATATGAGGTCCTTGAAGCCACCACAATTTTGTCACGGATCTTAAAATGGGCACCTTCAGTGCCAGTAACTGCAGCTTCCATCGCGGGGGGCGAAAATATACCCCATCGTTCCAATGGGTGCATTGGTTATTACCCAAAGGAGACTGTCAGCGTTTGGGAAATCTTTGCCTGCCTGCTGTGGGGTGGGCAGAAGGTCACGGTGGAAAGGTCTTCCGTCTTTGGAGTGAGAAAAGATTGGGGTCAGTTGGGGTCAAGCCCTGAAATAGTCTCCAGGTTCCACACCCCGCAAGGGACCCACTCACCGAGACAAGGCCGTGGATGGTGATCTGGAGTTTTTTCAGCTTGTCAATCACCATTTCGCCCAGCGGTGGGGAAAAAGAGGGAGAGCAGCTCCACTCAACTGCAATGACAAGAAGAGAAACCCCCTCCCCGGTCAGTAATTAGAGAGACAGTTTGGTCTAGTGGTTAGGGAACCAGGCTAGAAAACGGGAGATGGGGAGTTCTAGTCCTATCTTAGACATGGAAGCTGGCTAGGTGACCTTGGGCTGATCACCAGGAGATGGTGAGTTCAAGTTCCACCTTAGGCATGAAAGCCGGTTGGGTGACTTTGGGTGAATCACCAGGAGACAGTGAGTTCTAGACCCACCTTAAGCATGAAAGCCAGTTGGGTGACTTTGGTTGAATCACCAGGAGACAGTGAGTTCTAGACCCACCTTAAGCATGAAAGCCGGTTGGGTGACTTTGGTTGAATCACCAGGAGACAGTGAGTTCTAGACCCACCTTAAGCATGAAAGCCAGTTGGGTGACTTTGGGTGAATCACCAGAAGACAGTGAGTTCTAGACCCACCTTAAGCATGAAAGCCGGTTGGGTGACTTTGGTTGAATCACCAGGAGACAGTGAGTTCTAGACCCACCTTAAGCATGAAAGCCAGTTGGGTGACTTTGGGTGAATCGCCAGGAGATGGTGAGTTCTAGGCATGAAAGACAGTTGGGTGACTTTGGGTGAATCGCCAGGAAAATTCTAGAGCCACCTTAGATATGAAAGCCAGCTAGGTGACTTTGGGCAAATCACCAGGAGATTTCAACTTTCACGCTCGGAACACTTTGTTCACTGCTACTGATGAAATACCCAAAGGCTTACCTTTGTATTTGGTGACAATCGCTGAATTGACACTTAGAGGCTCCTGAAATGACACTTCGACAGAGGTGCTGCTGGCCACTGAAAGGTGGACATTTGTAGGTGGATCTGGAACTCCTGGGGGGGTGGGAAAGAGAAACACAGCACAGATATCAGGAAAAGTGAGCCCGATGAGCTGAAGGAATGTTTCTTTAATCCAAGGCAAACTAAGAGTCTAATATTCACAGAGAAAACAAAACAAAAATATCGGAAAGGAAAGATAACCTTGACAGAGATACAGAGATAGAGATGAGTCTTTCGGACTCATGCTGAAGCCCATCTTCATGGAATTTCTCTCTCCTGGAATACATGCTTTGGGCTGTTCTGGGAGTTGTGTTTATGCAGTGCCTTCCTACTGGCGGATTGGTGTATTGATGGCTGGCTTTATTTATCTATTAAATTTGTTTGTCTTCCAATTCTGGGAGTTGAAGTCCACAAGTCTTAAAGTTGCCAAGTTTGAAGACCCCTGATGTAAATGGTAGTTTAGGCTGCACCTGTCATAATTCACATTTAAACACGAGTGTGATAGCTTTTACTACTTAGATCCTCTCCCACAGAATTATACTTGTAAATGTTTGCTATTCTCAGAGTTCAAAGAACATAATTTCCACAGCTCATAGGATAGGGAAGTTAGGAGAAGATAATATAGATATGATACAAGCCATATCCCACCCATTACAACTAGGTTAGCTAGGAATGGGAGTTAAGTTTTCTTTCAAACTCAAATGAGCCGGTTGAGTGGAGCTTGGTTGATTTGTCAACCAATCTTGTTGCTTGTTGACTTGACTCATCTCAGGGTGTTCTAGAAGACACGCTGATTACGAGCCCCCGATTGCCCTGACAAAACTTAACTTCCCTTCACCCTCAAGCAATATACTTGGGAAAAATACGTGGTTTCAAACTTCTGCCCACCAAAAGGGTTCTTGGAACAGGACTGGGAAATCTATTGTCATTAGGCCACCTTGTCTCCTAAATCACGGCTTGCTTCAAGAACAGGAGACGTAAATATTCTGACTCAATTACTACATTCCCACTGGCTGATCTCAACCAGAACAGACAACCTCCATCTTAGACATGGTCAACGGGATGGATTCTCATTCAATACAGGTAATCCTCAACTTGCAGCCATTCATTTACTGACTGACTGAAGTTACAAAGGCACTGAAAAAAGGGAGTTATGACCGTTTTCCCACACTTAACGACCGCTACAGCATCCTCCTGGCCATGGGATCAAAATTAGGACACTTAGCAACTGGCTCCTATTTATGATGGCTGCAGTGTCCCTGGGGTCTCATGACCTTCTGATGACCAAAGTCAATGGGGAAGCCAGGTTCACTGTGGACAACTGTGTTACTAACTTAACGGTGGCAAGAAAGGTCATAAAATGGAGCAAAACCCACTTAACAACTAGAGATGGAATGGCAGTAAATCATGGACTACCTAAATGTGGGTGCTGGTTTGCATGGCCCCGGCTCCCCTTTTCTGATGACTAGTTTGGAAGGATTTCATATTTCTTCCAATATTCCAGCACGTCAACATTCCCGCTCTTTCTGAGTGGTGGCATAGAGGGCCACAGAGACTCACGTGCGTGCTCAAATCCGGCGTTCATGCGCTTGTAAAGCCGGTAGCGCCATTCCCAGGCCTTCAGCTGTTTCTCTTTTTCTGAGCTTTCCGCGTCGGGCACCTCGTTCACCACCTGCGCGGTGAGATCGTTGACCCGCTGTTCTGCTTCCCGAACCAGGGTTGCCAGATGCAAAGACCGACTCTCCAGGCTTACAACTTGGAGAGAAAAGGAAGATAAGGGAAAAAAAAAAGATTAAAGGGGGAATAGGTAGAGGAACAAGGAACAATCCCCTCTATGTAACGGAAAAAAAGTTCTCTATGGCTTTGGACCAGGGTTTCCCAACCTCGGCCACTTTAAGGTGTGTGGACTTCAGCTCCCAGAATTCCCCAGCCAGCTGTGTTGGCTGGGGAATCGTGAGAATTGAAGTCCACAGATCTTAAAGTGGCCATGGTTGGGAAACCCTGTTTTAGACCTAGATCAGTGGTTCTCAACCTGTGGGTCGGGACCCCATTTGGGGTCGAACGACCATTTCACGGGGGTCGCCAAACAACGCAGTCCGCCATTTTTTCCCCCTTTTCCTTAGCTGTGCTACTCCCTTTTATTCTATTGGCTTTTGAAAGCCAATAGAATAGACTCTCTTGAATAGAGTCTAATTCTATTGGCTTTCAAAAGCCAATAGGAATTGTCCAGGCTGTCTCTGCCCTGCTGAGCCCGCCAAAAGTCCCATTCTGCAAACGGTGCTGCACCAGTTGAGTAGTCCTCGACTTACGACCGGTTGAGTAGTCCTCGACTTACGACCGGTTGGGGGTCACGGCATTAAAAAGGTTGAGAACCACTGACCTAGAGAATGGCCCGTGCCTAGTGATTCCAGAAATCTAGGGAGTCTTCTCAATCCTTATTTCTCAAGCACTGTCAGGGAGAAAATCTGAGATTCAGATTTTTAAATAAAACCAGAGCTACTTCTTCTGGTCTCTTTTTCTTGCAGATTTAGAAACAAGGTTTGTGGGCAGAATCTGTGGTCCGTCTCTGGTCAGCCGAAACCACAAGATCTGCTTTCTAATTCAAAACAAGTTCTTGAATAACAAGTTGCAAATGTACTCTAAGCCATGCTACTACTATTACTATTAATGATGACAAGAAGAAGTAGTGAAGGAGGTGAAGGAAGGAAAGGAGAAGAAATTCCTGATCAGAAAAGAGTCGCTACGATTTATTTATTGAGCAGAAGAATAAATCTTGTAACTGGAAGATATAGTAGCCGTGATACTCCTTTCTATTTTGTTCTATTTTCTGTTCTATTCTATATTCTGTTGTTTTTCTATTCTCTTCCACAGTCTGCTCACTATTCTGTTCTGTTTTCTGTTCCACTGTGTTCTATTTTTTATTCTAGTTTCTATTCTATTCTCTATTTCATTCTATTTTCTCTTCCCTTCCCTTCTCCGAAATATAGCATTGAAAAATAGACCCTCCTGCCTACCAGAATTAGCACTAAGCAACATGAAAGCTTTTGCACTCCTCTTCGAAACCACAATGACAACAAAACACCTAATGGGTTTTGAATTTTAATATTTTAAAAATTGCATTAGCATCATTTGCATGTACCTATCACAATGAACCCACCATTAACATATCCCGGGGGGGGGGTGTTCCTCGTGTTTTGCTTGCCTGTCATCCCATTCACTTCCAGTTCTATTCCTAGAATTGATTATGCAAAATTCCTTTCTATCGCTGCACGCAGGTCCACACTGCAACCTGCTCCAGATGCCAGGACCTTTAGTAAGCAGCCACGTGTTGACGTTTGCCAGCATCCGTATGAAGAACCAGCGACTGGGTCTTGGGTGGAGCATATCCAGATAGGAACAAATGTCCCATCACACAAGAGATGGCCAGACTTGTCTATGGAGATTCTCAGTCATCCAGGTCATGGTTGTCCCAAAAGTGCTTTTTTCAGGAGGCGACTGGACTTTTTTTGTTTAGGGTCTGTAAGGTTATCTGGGACACTACCCATCCTCTTCACGACCTGTTTTCCTTGTCAGCTTCTGGGAGGAGGGGGCCCCGTGGTATCCAAAGCAGAACATCCAGATTCAGCCAGAGTTTCATTCCATACAGCATTAACCTTGTGAACTCTCAAGCTTCCTCCTTCCGTTATATATTCAGGATGGACAGTGTTTAATATTCATTTGCTACGTATATGTAGGGGCATGGGTCTATACATATGTTGTACATAGTATGTTTTAGGTGTGTGTCATGTATGTTTCACTTTGAGAGCGGGCAACTAAATTTCGTTTTTGATGTGTGCCGTTGTGCCCACAGTAAAAAAAAATGACAGTAAAGGTTATCTTATCTAGGTTATCTTATCTTAAAAAGCACCTTTGGGGTGGCCAGCCTCGGTTTTATGGCCTTTTTTTCTTGAGCAGTTGCTGTAGGAAAAGTGCTAAATGGCCAGGGGTGGGATTCAAATAGGTGAACTACTGGTTCTCTGTGTGGATGCCACTTCCGGAAGTCCATTCTGGGCCTGGGCAACCAAAAATTAGCTACCGGTTCTGCCGAAGTGGTATGAACCGGCTGAATCCCATCACTGAAAATGGCCCATAACTAAAGCCTTTGCAAGCAGTCTGTGTGAGGTACCTGCCCCTTGCTCAACCTTCGCGAACAAGAGGAGAAGACCCCTGTTGAGGTTTAGAAGACAGATGTTTTATTCCATGGAATCTCTTCCTTTGCTTGATGGGCAAGAACAGAAAAGACAGTCACACCTCTTTCAGAGTTCACCCCGTCCTTTTGCTGAGCTCCCATTATTACCTACCTACGTTGACAGCTAGGCCTCTCCACACTCTCTCCGTGGGCCACCCAGCAAGAAGGCATGTCAAGGGTTGCATCCAGCGCAACCTCTTTACAGAGGGTGCACAAGAACTTGAGGCACAATGTCACACTGCCAGGAAAGGAAGGCTACGGAGTGCTCATTCAGAGTCACGCCTCCTTCTGTTCCCATTCAGAGGAAGGCTTTAACTGAAAAAAAGGGCATTGTGGTCCTGACCCTAATTGTGAGATACTAGTTTCCTCACTCACAAATAACTAAAGCTGAAGGTTTTCCTGACCGTTCCAAGGCAGAAATCTGAAGGAAGACAAAACAGCCAAAATGTGGAATGGCACAGCAGCAGAGTTGGAAGGAACACTGGAGGCTTCCTGCTCAAGCAGGAGACCCTCTACCGTTCTGGACAAATGGCTCTCCAATCTCTTCTTAAAAATCTCCACCGTTGGAGCACCCACAACTTCTGGGGGTAAGCCCTTCCACTGATTAATTGCTCTTGCTGTCGGGGAAATTTCTCCTTAGTTCTAGGGCTGGATCTCTCTTTGATAAGTTTCCATCTGTTACTTCTTGCACTACCTTCAGGTGCTTTGGAGAATAGGGTGACCCCTCTTCTTTGTGGCAGCCCCTCAAATATTGGAAGACTGCTATCTTGTCACCCCTAGTCCTTCTCTTCATTAGAGTAGACACATCCAGTTCCTGCAATTGTTCATTGTGTGTTTAAACCTCTAGACACCTAATCATCTGTTGCTCTTCTTGGAGTTCTTCATTAATTAATTCACTAAGATTTCTCCTCATTGTTCTCTTCCTCCACCTCAATCAGCTCTATTCAGGATCCAGTTCTATCCAGGATTCAGTCTTCTTTGGGGAACTTCTCTCTCAGCAGAAACACAGAAAAGGTTCCTGAGGATGGGCTTCAGCACAAGTCCAAAAGCTCAGAAGACAAAACTTTTGGTCCCGGTGATTGATCCAGATTAGATCCTGTAACATTATCCTAGGACAGGGATAGGCAACCTTGGATCTTTTATGACTCGTGGACTTCAGCTCCAGAATTCCTGAGCCAACCATGCTGGCTCAGGAATTCTGGGAGTTGAAGTCCACGAGTCATAAAAGAGCCAAGGTTGCCTACCCCTGTCCTAGGATGTGTATATTTGCCTTCATTTGTCACCTATTCATGATGAGCCCTTGAGATCCAGTGTGGACTTTAATCAACTGGTGAATTTCAGAACTATAAGCAACCTAGCTGTGGAATTTTGCTCTTTCAAGGGATGAATCTGCTCATGGTAAGTAAAAAACAAACACGGATGTAGATCGTTGGTTCTCCTTCAATGTTTGCTCAAAGCAGCATCTCAAACACCTCATGAGATTCAGAACTAAACTTTTCAGGTCTTGTATTCCTCGTGCACCAGCTTTCAGTTGGAACGGCACGATTAAAATTGACTGAATCTCATCTCATCCAAGAAAGCATCTCTACATCTATCATGATTACATGGTTCAATGTCTCTAGCAGTCAGTTCTCCTCCCAACATCTTGCAACTATGAAAAATAGGGGAGAAAGCAGATCATCTAAATCAGGGATCTTCAAACTTGGCAATTTTAAGCTGGCTGAGGATTTCTGGGAGTTGAAGTCCACAAGTCTTAAAGTTGCCAAGTTTGAAGACCCCTGATCTAAATTGTAGTTTAGGTTGCACCTATCATAATTCTCAGGAGCATCTAAATGATGACACAGGGGCATTTAAATGTGATAGCTTTTGCTGCTTAGATCCTCTCCCACAGAATTACACTTGTAAATGTTTGCTATTCTCAGAGTTCAAAGAGCATAATTTCCACAGCTCATAGGATTGGGAAGTTAGGAGAAGATAATTTCTAGAATATCTATGAGAATGAGGGGTCCTTGATGGTCTCTGAGCTTAGCTGACTTCTTGCAGATGTTTCATTACCCACACTTAGGTAACATCATCAGTGCTAGAAAGGAGTAGTGTTTGCAAAGAGGAGGAAGGAGAGAAAGAGAAGGAGGTGGAGGAGAACTGTGGGGTCCTTGGTGCTCTCTGAGCTTGGTTGTTTTCTTGCAGATGTTTCAATACCCAAACTAGGTACCATCATCAGTGCTAGTAAGGAATGAAGTTTTTTCTCATTTTATCTATTTGTGGCTTACTCTGTGTCTCCCATCAACATTGAGAGAGCAAGCCACTAGTATATAAAATGAGAGCAAACCCAACTCCCTTCTAGCACTGATGATGTTATTTAGTTGGGTCATGAAATGTCTGCATAAATACAGCCAAGCTCAGAGAGCACCAAGAACCTTACAGTTCTCCTCCCCTTCTCCACTCCACTCCACTCCTCCCTTTCTTCTAACCCAGATGATGTTACCTAGTTGGGTGATGAAATGTCTGCAAGAAGACTGCCAAGCTTAGAGAGCACCAAGGACCTCACAGTCTTTTTCCTCCTCCTCCTCCTCCTCCTCCTCCTCCTCCTCCTCCTCCTCCTCCTCCTCCTCCTCCTCCTCCTCCTCCTCCCCACTCTCTTCTAGCACTGATGATATTCCCTAGTTGGGTCATGAAATGTCTGCAAGAAAATCACCAAGCTCAGACAGCACCAAGGATCCCACAGTCCTCCTCCTCTTCTTCCTCCTCCCTCTTCTCTTCTACTCCGCAAACCCCCGCCCTTCTAGCATTGATGATGTTACCTTGTTTGGTTAAGGAAAGGTCTGCAAGAAAACATTCAAGCTCAGAGAGCATGAGGGAATCCCCGTTTCAATCTTGAGCGACAGCTATTCTCCATTAATCTTACTATGAGAGAGAACTCGGGAGAGGTTGAGTATCGTAAGAGTTTCTGACTTACAGTGAGGACTTTCCTTGGCTCCAGCCAGCAAGAGGGTCTTGGCAATGGGCGAGTTGTTGGTCATGATTGCAATATCTAGTGGCAGGAGACCTTCACTATTAGGAGTATTAAGATCCAATTCCTCCAGACTGTATTGCTTAAGCAGCTCTTCCACCTTATCCAGGTCTTGCAACTCAACAGCCTCAAAGAGAGCAGCATTGCCTTGAAACTGCAGAGAGGAACAAAGTCACACCAACCTTCTTGCTAGATCTGAGCAACATCTGGCACTCTATGGACCTTACCTTGTTTTTAGCATACACATTCCCAGGGATGGGGAAAAGGAAGGTGGAATTCATCACTTCCAAAGCCGGCCTCTGCAGGCTACCGTATGGACACTTCCTCGCTTGCAACTCACACTGTGTGTGTTGACTGGACAGCTAGTCCTCAGCTTACAACAGTTCGTTTAGTGACCGTTCAAAGTTACAACGGCACTGAAATGATCATTTTTCACACTTAACGACCGTGGCAGCATCCCCAGGGTCATGTGATTAAAATTCAGACGCTTGGCAATTGACTCCTATTTATGACGGTCCCGGAGGTCATGTGATTCCCCCTTTTTACAACCTTCTGACAAGCCAAGTCCATGGGAAAGCCAGAGTCACTTCACAAGCATGTTACTAACTAAACAACTGCAGCGATTCACTCAACAACTCTGGCAAGAAAGGTCGTAAAATGGGGCAAAACTCGCTTAACAAGAGACATTTTGGGCTCAACTGTGGCCGAGGACTAGCTGCGTTCATCACATCATTCAGAGCATTCATTCATAGCTTCGCTTGCAATTCACAATAGGTTGACCATAGTCAACGCATCATTCAGAGCATGGAGCAACCTTGAACTGTACTGCAGGCCACGAATATGACAAAGCGTGAAAACCTCACTCAAGGGTTGAACGGTTCCATCGGCTTACTAAGTGTTTCTAAACCTTGGCAGTTTTCAGATATGTTGACTTCAACTCCCAGAATACCCCGGCTACCCTGGGAATTCTCTTTTCTCCAGCCAGCAAGGGAAAGATGGACTGCAATTGTGTTTGCTTCTCCCATTCTCATGAAACAAACACTTTCTATTGGATCTGATAAGAGTTTGGCTACTTCCTTCTTCCCGTAGCCACCACCCTGTTATATGAGCAAGGAAACAGGGAGAGAAGGTAGAGTCCAAGAGTAACATTCCATGAATGAAACACTGAGATAGTGTCAGGTGCAAGCATGATCAGCTTCAGGGTGAAGCTTTATTGTACACTACCTCTATTACAAGAATCTCACCAGGCTGTCTGCTTCCCCTTGGGAATGACCAGAGAAAGCTTCATGGATTTTGAGGGAAGCTACGTTATCCATTTGTGGCTATACAAGGATTCAAAACTAGGTCCTCGCTTGACCCCTTCCTCCAACCTAGCTGACAATTCCCCAATATCTGGAAAGTCGTGTTTCCTTCGTCCCTCTTTTATTTTGGAATAAGAAGCCATGAACTTCCTAAAAAACCCACTCAGACCAGGTAGTAAAATCTATTTACCAAGTAGGATTTTCGCTGCTTCTCCTTTTCAGCTTTCCCGGCTAGGTTTCCTTCATCAAATGACATGTAGTTAACTCTGAATTTCCCAGAGAGATTCCGATAAAGCCTCTTGGCGGCATTTGGGGATGATGGTCCCGGCTGTTTTCGAGCGTGGGCTAACTGCAGATCTCTTAGTTGCTGGGTCATTTTTGGTGAGGAAGACCTAAGAAACGACAACAACAAAGGGAGAATGCGAAATTAAAATTTCTTAAAAGAAAAAAAAATTGACAACTACAAATTGTATATGAAAGTTGCTAAAGTTTGTTAGCACCAAGTAGGTTTGTTGGTTTGTTAGCTGAGTGGTCCTCCTGGTGAATAAATGCTTTGTCAACGCAAGGGTTGCTACAGCGTTAGAGAAAAATTGTTACCCCTACATAGCATTTTAAGATTTCTGAATATGTTTAGATGTTGCTTATATCCAGCAGCGCAAAAGACATGTATTTTATTAAGTCGTTCCTACAATGGACAAATGATCTAGTGTGGAATTTTAAAACACATGTGTCTTGTGAAATGTCTTTTATTTTTATTTTATTTTAAATGCTTTTTTACAAGTGTAAAACTTGTCCTCTGTATTTACAGTCAAGACCATATTCAGTAAGTCCTCTAACTAGTTAAAATATGTATTTAAAATAGCTTCCAAAAGAAAATCTGGGACTGTGTGTAAACCAATACAAATAAGAAATTAGAATAGATAAAAAGACAAATATGGTAATAAGGTTAACATAGAACTTCATATCAGAAGGAGGTCTTAAGTCTATTGCTTTTGCTAAATCTTTCTTTCTTTCTTTCTTTCTTTCTTTCTTTCTTTCTTTCTTTCTTTTTCTTTCTTTCCCTCTTTTCTTTCTTTCCTTTATTTTTTCTCTTTCCCTCTTCTTTCTTTCTCTCCTTTCCTTTCCTCTTTTTTACCTCTTCCTCCTCCCCCCCGCCCACTCTTTCCTTTTTTACTTTTAGGTGTTTTAACTTAAAGTTAACTTTGCTTTATCTATCTTCTCTTTTCTTCTCATCAACACCCAGGCACATATTGGTGTACCAGTTAAAGAGACTAAACTAGAAACTGGGAGCCCAGGGAGCCCAGGACTTCTTATCCTGCCTTAAGCATAAAGAGAGCCAGTCACTCTCTGCCAGCCCTAGAAAGAAGACAAGGACAAACCACTTCCTAAATCTTCATTTCAACTCTTTGTTTGTTCCAAGCACCACAGAATCATGTGGAAGTTGGGTGGCCATATAAATTTGTTCAGTGAATAAATACTTGAATAAATCTTGTCAAGAAAACTACAGGGACCTATCCAGGCAGAGTCAAGATGGAATTGAAGACACTATATGTAGTCACGTGGCAGTTGGATCAAATGTAATCAAACTCACTGTACAGAAACAAGACAAGATTTATAATGTGAATACTGTATCTGGAGTTACAACGTTAATCCTGTAAAAAATAAAAATAAAATACGCTCCTGCCTTACTTTTTCTGAGAAGGCCAGCAAAATGACAGCCAATTTAAAAGTCTCTTGGTTTTGCATAATGCTAAAGAAGCATCTTTTTCAAGAAAAAAAAAAACAAACCCAAGTTTAGAGACAGCCCTGCAGACGGCACTAAGGGAACCCCAACCGCAATCCTTCACGATTGCAGCGATGTTATCTGAGGCAATGTGCAATGAATTACATTATTTCACTTGTTTTGTTTTGTTTTAAAGAGCTTTGAAATACAGCCGTCTCTTTAGTCTCCTCCTAAGGCGTTTTTTTCTAGATGGGAATGGATGGGGAAAGATTAACCTGTCTCCCTTATATATATATATATATATATATATATATATATATATATATATATATATATATATATATATATATATACATCAGGACGGAATTAATGCCGTGCCAAGGGGTGGGATGGTGTGGCAAAACCTGGGTTTTCAGCCGCAGTGTAGCTCAGGATTACCAAAAAACCCCCCAAACTGGATGGCTCCAGACATAACCATCATGTGGAAGGGCCGTATATGATTTGATCTGGCACCAAACTTAATCAGAGAGCGATGCATCTTGGTGTGGTCTCTAGTCCTTTGGCTGTGTGAAGGCAGCCAAAGCAGACAATGGATGTAATTAGCGGTGAGGATATCTCCATGTGTATCAGGGAAAATGGATGGAAATGACTCCTGGGTGTGGGTTTGACAAGGTCCCCAAGGAAGAGATGCAAGGGAACATTTGCAGACATCAGATAAGAGCTTGGTGGAGTTTACAGCTTGGGAACTGATTCAGGAACGAGGAATGGGAAAGAATGGGCGATTTTCACTACAAGCAGTCCTTGACTTATGAGCACAATGGGGAACAGAGTTTCCTTGGCCGGCAGGATAGGGTCTTGCCAAATAAAGGAGCCGAGGTGGTGCAGCAGTTAGAGTGCAGTACTGCAGGCCACTTTAGCTGACTGTGTTCAGCAGGTCAGCGGTTCAAATCTCACCGGCTCAAGGTTGACTCAGCCTTCCATCCTTCCGGGGTAGGTAAAATGAGGACCCAGATTGTTGGGGGCAATGTAAATATATATATACATTGCTTACTGGTGTACACCGCTTAGAGAGTGCTTGCACTTAAAGCGGTATATAAGTCTCATAAATAAATAAATAAATAAATTTGTGAAACTCCATTGAGTCCAGAACGGTTCTGTCTAAGCTGCAAAGCGTTTTCAACCAAGGTGCGTTAGAGCAGCGTTTCTCAACGTTTGTGTGACGGCGACTGCCGTCACACGGACGCGCCGCACATGCGCGGCGCCGCCCCCATGCGCAGCGCGCATGCACGGCGCCACCCCTGGGGGGGGGAATGGCGGATCGCGTTGTTTGGCAACCCCCGTAAAATGGTCGTTCAACCCCAAATGGGGTCGCGACCCATAGGTTGAGAACTGCTGTGTTAGAGGGAGAAAGAGCAACGGCACACATACACAATTCATCACCTATCTGGGTACAGCTCAACATATGACCACAATCCTGGGGGAAATCAGGATTTCTGTTGCTAAGCAAGGCGTTTTGTTCAGGGAGTCCTGCCCAATTTTATGTTTTGGCCATGGTTGTTCAATGAATCACGGCGGATGTTAAGTGAATCACGCGGTTGGGCTTCCCCACTGAAGCCAGCCAAGAAGGTCGCAACTGGCGATCATTTGATCCCGAGACACTGCAATTTTCTAAATACAGGGTGGGGATGCTGTGATGGTCGTAGGTGCGAGGACTGGCTGTAAGTTACTTTTTTCAGCACCGCTTTAACTGCACGGTAATAATAATAATAAAAAAAAAGTTGGAAGGGACCTTGGAGCAATGTTGCAGGATAATAATGCTAATAATAATAGAGTTGGAAGGGACCTTGGAGGTCATCTAGTCCAACCCCCTGCTCAGGCAGGAAACCCTATACCATTTCAGACAAATGGCTGTCCAGTCTCTTCTTAAAAACCTCCACTGTTGGAGCATTCACCACTTCTGGAGGCAGGTTGTTCCACTGGTTAATTGTTCTAACTGTCAGGAAGTTTCTCCTTAGTTCCAGGTTGCTTCTCTCCTTGATTAGTTTCCATCCGTTGCTTCTTGTCCTGCCTTCAGGCGCTTTGGAGAATAGCTTGACTGCCTCTTCTTTGGGGCAGCCCCTGAGATACTGGAAGGCTGCTATCATGTCCCCCCTCGTCCTTCTCTTCATTAAACTAGACATATCCAATTCCAGTAGCCGTTCCTTATATGCTTTAGCCTCCAGTCCCCTGATAATCTAAGTCAAGGACTGCCTGCATGGGGCAGATAAACAGAGGAATCCTACTGATTTTTATACTAGAAATGGTTCTTCTTCACTTATTTATATAACCCAAAAGCCAGGTTTCTGGAAACAGCACAGGCTGCTTAGTATAAGTAATAGTGATCATGTCACCACGTATTTTTTTTTCTAAAATTACACACATTCCAGTTACAAAATGGGTGTTGACATAAGTGAATTGCCAAAGCTCAATACTGGCCAGTTCATACATTGACTGCAGCAGGTTTACATTTTTGTTTTTAACTTCAACAGACCTAAATTTTCTTTTTCCAGAACTTAAACTGAGATGCATTAGGATTTGGTTTACACTTTCTATATTTCTTAGGTTGCACGATGAAGAAACAAATTTCTACCAACTTTGCATGTGCCAGTTGCTTGAACTCTTTGTTTTCTCAATGGTATAAAAACATTATCTTTGTTTGGTATGTCTGTGCAGAATCGTCTTAGTTTAAACCCTTATTAATTCCTTGCCAAAGAAACCAATTTATTTAAGGACTGCAAATGGAAGGGTAACATTTTCTAGGTTCGCCAGTCTCTGGAAAATGGCATTTACCCAATCACAGGAAAAGTATTATATGGAAAGGGGAAAATTATGGTGGCCCCTACTCCATAATTTAAGGAGAAAGTATCTGCGCATGCAATTAATTTAAAAGACTACATACATGGATTCATTTCCCCCCCTTTTGAAAAGAACTCACGTTCTTTTTTGAAAGTTTAACTCTGAGTGCAGTACCATACATTAAAGAGATTTCTCTTTTTTTAGTTGCATTTTTAGGTTAGTTAATCTGAGTTGTAGTTCTTCAACTAGGAAACTGTTCATTCAGGATATCCTCTAATTCTCCTGCTTGTTTCAGTGAGTTCTCAGCTTAAAAACTGTCTACATTCTTCTTCTTCTTCTTCTTCTTCTTCTTCTTCTTCTTCTTCTTCTTCTTCTTCTTCTTCTTCTTCTTCTTCTTCTTCTTCTTCTTCTTCTTCTTCTTCTTCTTCTTCTTCTTCTTCCTTCTTCTTCTTCTTCTTCTTCTTCTTCTTCTTCTTCTTCTTCTTCTTCTTCTTCTTCTTCTCTTCTTCTTCTTCTTCTTCTTCTTCTTCTTCCTCCTCCTTCTTCTTCTTCTTCTTCTTCTTCTTCTTCTTCTTCTTCTTCTTCTTCTTCTTCTTCTTCTTCTTCTTCTTCTTCTTCTTCTCCTTCTCCTTCTCCTTCTCCTTCTTTCTTCTTCTCTTTCTCCTTCTTCTTCTTCTTCTCCTCCTCCTCCTCCTTTTTTTTTTTTTAAAAAAAAGTGCTCAACATAAACTAATCTCACAGTGGAAAATACAGCTACCAAAAAGGAAAAGAAACAAAAGGCTCAGTAAATATCACTTATGTATAAAATAAATATGACTTAACTACAGATCCGCA